ATAGACATGTCATGGTTACTCCATATTTTCCGAAATTAACGTAAACTTATAAATAATGTACACATATGCAACCAAACTGTAACGTGCGTGGTTTTCTCTACCTTTCAGCTCAAGTCTTTCTAGGTTTATACGTTCGGTCTGTCATAGCTTGTACATCCTAAATAAAATGTCTGTCTGCTGTTCTTATTGTTCCACTTCACAACTGTATGGATCACTTCCCCGTCTGTTTCTATCCAATCGCTACTTCCAAAAAATTCATTGTAGTGAACGAATAAGTCTTCCTCGCATCCAGCCATTCGTCGCTTTTTGATAGAAATTACTGCGTACTCAACTATTGTGACAATGTGCTCTAACTTAAATTTTTTGTTTATAGGTCCGTTATACTAGATGAATTTTACACACAAGGTAGCTGTGATTCTAGCTTCATCAAAGAAATCAGTTCAAAAATGAGAGTTCCTGATAGAATATCATTAGATCCGAGTAGTTTACCACAGGTGAATCTACCATTCGATTCTTCTGAAAATGTCAATATGAAAGTGCCAGAAAGAATAGTTATGTCTGGTGCTCAAAATCAGTCATCACCACACATAGTATTCAACCCACGTGGAGGTAAGTAACGAAATATGCGTATATATATATATATATATATTTATATATAATCTCGAGGAACTATGTTTTGTGGTGTAGGTTTAGGCTGGAAGAGAGTTAGGGGCGGCCAGACCAAAACATGGTAGAAATCCACGAAGCCACTGACAGGTGGGCTGAGTCATGTTGGCAGATGTAGGCTACCTGGTTGGGGTTCGCGAGACGAAGGTCACCGATGGTTAGAGACGTTGAACGACATGGCTCAAAATCGTTTGCAATGCGCAGGTGCATTCATTCATTTTGTTCTCTCAAATTGCAACCTACTGAATTGCTCATCATCTCTATCTTTTTTCTAAGTTTATATAACTGAATTATGCTTATCGAACCATGTCTTCGAGCCCTAATCTTCTCCATTACTGCTAATACTTTTACTGGATTTGAACTGACAGTTATCTGTGTGCTGATGCAGCATGGCAACCTGAACTGATGTATGTACTTACTAAGTTCTGCGTTGTATCCGTCTGCCGTCTGTATACGTATAATCATGCAGTTAAAAGTTTCGAAGTACTATTTCCAACAGTTAGTAAATTCATTGAAAGGTCGATTAGTAGGATATTATTGATACCCTATTACATTAATGGCCCGACCGAAGCTGCTACCTTGACGTGGTGGTCGGGCTTGCCTATCGTGATGACCCAACCGAGCTATACTGGCTGGAACACATGTTCCTGCAGGTCCTACCATGCCAGGCAGGTCGATTGGAGAACGATGAGACTAAAAGCAGCTACCCAAGGTTTGAGGGCGAAGTCGTACTGCTGACTGCAGAGGGGTGTGACAGCAGTAAGGTGTTTCCCTCGGACAACCAGCATCTGCAGCGATGCTGCCTTCTCACAAGGAAGGAAGGGTTAGAAAAGGTCGGCCCTAAAAATGTCACACCTCCCCTACCTCACGGATTTCCGTCTCCTTGGGTAAAGGTGCCCACTAAGGGCCTTTAAGAACGGAGCTAATCTTCAAAAAACCTTTCATAAAAATGCCGTGCGTGACCGGCCTGAAGCAGTTGTCCCTTTGACTCTGCGGTCACGCACCAACACTAATCCATCTTCCTTTTCAGGTTCCTCAAGAAACAACCTTCCACGGTGTGGGCAGCCGGGAAGTGATAACCGCCCTCATACCCGCAACAGCACACGAGACCAAATTGTTCAAAATCAAATCCTTCCTACATTCCCTAATACCTCTCTTATCTCCACAACTAACTCTTCTCACATTCATTTATTACAGTGCACAGCTAATGCAAACGATGCGAGTTTGCGAAACGTCGTTCCTGGTCTCCTTAAACCCCGTTCCAAACTACATGTTGGAGCATTCAATGTACGGACATTGTGTCAAATAGGGCAACAGGCATCATTAGCTAGGACTTTAGAATCTCGTTCCATCGATGTGTGCTGCGTTTCGGAAACGCGCATACAGGATCCGAGTAGCATCGCTCATTTGACCTCACCATGTCAAGATAAAGAAGCAGCTCGATTTACCCTTCGTGTATCCGGTAGCCCTGATGCTGCTTCTAGGGGCCTCGCCGGTGTAGGTATAGCATTGAGTCGTAGGGCAGAACAATCTCTCCTTGACTGGATCCCAATAGATAGTCGCTTGTGCGCCGTCCGACTGAACGGGACAGTAAGGACTCGGAAAGATAGGGACACTCGTCGTTGCCTCTTCGTCATATCAGCCTACGCCCCCACTGACTGCAGCCCAGATGATGTAAAAGATGAGTTTTACAGAAAGCTTTCGGACCTCCTCCAAAAAGTTAAGCGCTCTGATATAGTTATAATGGCTGGTGACTTCAATGCACAAGTAGGTAGACTAAGTGAAAATGAAAGACACCTAGGTGGATGTTACGGTCTCGCGGCTCAAAGAACAGACAATGGCGACCGTCTGTTGCAACTGTGCTCAGATAACCAACTATTTCTAGCAAACACTAATTTTAAGCATAAGGAAAAACACCTTTTGACCTGGCGACCCCCGAAGTCGTCTCAACGTTGGACACAACTAGATCATATCGCCATCAGCCACCGATGGAGGGGTTCGATAGAGGACTGTCGCTCGTTCTGGGGCACATGTTTAGATTCAGATCATGCCCTAGTGCGAGCACGTATTTGTTTGAGGCTTGCTGGACGTAGGAAAGACACCGTAAGGAAGCCTCTTAGGGCTTCACTTGATGATAATCAAACCAAGAAAATATTTCAGGAGGAACTAGAAAAACAGTTAGGCGGCCATGCAAGTGATTCCCATCCTGAAGCAGGTTGGAATCATATCAAGAAGGCTGTGGAAACAGCAATGGTATCTGCTAGCAAGGTAAACCACAATGCTAGGATGAAGCCGTGGATTTCAGTCGCATCCACCGAACTGATGGATGCACGAAAACGCATCCCACCTGACTCTGAACATGATGAAGAGCGTAGTCAGCTTAGGTGCAGACTTATAAAAAGCCTACGTAACGACCGTGAACAGTGGTGGGTGGCGAAAGCAAAAGCGATGGAAAAGGCAGCGGCGATAGGCAACACTAGACAACTTTTCCGCCTTATTAAACAAGTAGGTGCTAGGAACCCGAATGTAAGTGTGACTATCTCGGAAAAGGATGGTCTTATTATTCGTTCTCAATCTAGGAGGCTGGACCGATGGGCAGAACACTTTAGGGATCAGTTCAACTGGCCTTCAGCCACTCTTCGGTTGCCCACGATCTCCAGTCATCCTGAATGGCAAATCGATTTAAGTCCTCCCAGTTTACATGAAGTTGAGAAAGCTATAGGAAATCTAAGGAGAGGTAGAGCGGCAGGTCCCGATAGGCTTACCCCTGAGATGTTTAAGGATGGTGGTCCAGTTTTAAAAGTTAGACTGACCGAGATCGTAGGTAGAATCTGGGAAATGGATGTAATCCCATCTGACTGGTCTCAGTCGCTAATTGTCCCAATCTACAAGAAAGGACAGAAGTCCTCTTGTGACAATCACAGGGGAATAAGTTTAACTAATATAGTTTCTAAATTGTTAGCCTCGATTATACTTAGACGTCTAACTAGAGCTCGCGAAGAGCAGACTCGAGAAAACCAGGCTGGTTTTCGACCTGGACGTGGCTGTATAGACCACATCTTCACACTACGACAGGTCCTGGAACACAGACACACATTTAGACGTCCGACAATAGTCGTGTTCCTGGACCTTAAGGCGGCATTCGACTCAGTGGATCGTGAGGTTCTGTGGCAGTGTCTGTCATTGAAAGGTGTACCAAAGAAGTACATTAACCTTATACAAGCACTCTACTCGAACACCACTGGTCGGGTGAGAGCATATGGCGAACTATCATCTGAATTCTCTACATCAAGTGGTGTCCGTCAGGGCTGTCCACTCTCTCCATTCTTGTTCAACTTTGTCGCAGACATCCTCTTAGAGTTAACATTAAGCTCGTCAGATTTTTCAGGGGTTGACCTTCTACCAGGAAAGTCGCTTACTGATCTAGAATATGCCGATGACATAGTTCTATTCGGTGAAGATGCTGACAAAATGCAGTGTCATCTGACTACCATAAGCAACAATGCAAGCATGTTCGGGATGCGGTTTTCCCCTTCGAAATTCAAAATGTTGCTTCAAGACTGGGTTGCTTCGGCATCTGAACTAGTGATAGGGAGTGAAGTGGTCGAGCGTGTTGATCACTTCACTTATCTGGGGAGTCTCATCAGTGCTGACGGTCTGGTGACTGACGAAATCTCAGCTCGGATACAGAAAGCTCGATTGGCTTTTGCCAACCTGCGTCACTTATGGCGTAGGCGTGATATCCGTTCGCTAACCAAAGGGCGGGTGTACTGCGCAGCAGTTCGTTCCGTTCTCTTATATGGCTGTGAAACATGGCCGTTAAGAGTAGAAGATGTTTGTAGGTTACTAGTATTCGATCATAGATGTTTAAGAAGCATTGCTCGTATATCGTGGGACAGCCGAGTAAGCAATGCTGTCGTTAGGAAACGAGTACTAGGTAAGGATGGCAGATCAATCGATGAAGTGGTGAAACTTCATCAGTTGAGGTGGTTGGGACATGTGTTACGTATGCCTAACCACCGACTGCCTCGACGAGCTATGTTTTGTGGTGTAGGAGTAGGTTGGAAGAAAGCTAGGGGCGGCCAGACCAAAACATGGCAGAAATCCATGAAGTCACTGACAAGTGGACTGAGTCATGTTGGTAGATGTAGACTACCTGGTTGGGGTCCGCGAGACGAAAGTCATCAATGGTTAGAGACCTTGAACGACATGGCTCAAAATCGTTTGCAATGGCGCAGGTGCATCCACTCTTTGAGCTCTCTCAAATCCTAATCTTCTGGAATCGTCAGCACCTCTACCTTTGTCTTTCTAACCTTATCTCACTGAATTATATTTTTTGAATAATATCTTAAACCCTAGTCTTCTTTATTATAACATTAATACCTCTACTATCTTTATCACTATGGGATTTGATTTGACATTTGCGTCTCTGTGCTAATAATGTGGTATGGCAACATGAACTTATGTACATACGTACGAAGTTCTACGTTGCAACTGACTGGCAATCCTACATAAAAACAAATTCACGCCAACTGATTCTAAAAAACCGCGAGCATCGATCATACTGTGAACTAACGTATGAAAAAATTAAAACCATTTTCTCAAGTGGATTCGTGTGTGAACACGAGTATATTTGATAGTGCAGTGAGCCACAATGCGATGAACTAGTTATTATCAGGCTATGATTGATTGTCAGAGAGTGGGAGAGAGGATTCTAAAGTAAACACGTGACTATAAACCGAATAAAGTCCACTATAAATACATTTCTTCAATGTAAACAGTCAACAAACGACAAAGCAATCAAGCAAACAACACTTACTTCAACAGTAAACCAACACAATGCAATTCTTCACTGTATGTCACTATTGCCTTGTGTGATATTGTTTGCCTAATCCATGTTCTCATTTCAGCTCATCATGCTTGTACTAGTCGTATCGTTCGAA